ATCTCGGGCATTTTTATCTATCTATCTATCTATCTATCTATCTATCTATCTATCTATATATAAAAGTGAATAAATATACTACACCTTAAAAACTATATATATATATATATATATATATATATATATATATATATATATGTGTGTGTGTGTGTGTGTGTATGTTTTCAGCCTTTTTATAGCCATCTATTTCAGCCTATTTATATCATTATCTATGTATCTATCTTTTCATAGGCCTGTGTCTCATACTCTTTAAATTTATTTTAGCTTGTTCATTATCTATGTATTTTCTCTCTCTCTCTCTCTCTCTATATATATATATATATATATATATATATATATATATATATATATATATATATGTATATATATATATATATATATATATATATTTCAGCCTTTTTATATCTATTTCACTCACTCTCTCTCTCTCTATATATATATATATATATATATATATATATATATATATATATATATATATATATATGCTTGTATTTCAGGTATTTATTTCTCTCTCTGTCTATATATATATATATGTGTGTGTGTGTGTGTGTGTGTGTATTTCAGCCTTTTTATATCCATCTATCTATCTATGTATATGTATTTCAGCCTTTTTTTCTATTTATCTATCTATCTAATTATGTACATATTTATTTCGGTTTGCACACAGACAGTTTTTTTTTTATTCATAAATAAATAGTGAATAAATCAATAATCATCTGTTGAGAAATATGCCATTCCAGATGCGTCAGCATTTTAACGCATACAGACATATTATGTGCCGGGTATTTTCTTTAAATCCTTCCTCTCTCGAAACGATTATCATATAAAAGCACGCAATCGTAAACGGATATTTCTGTGTGTGTGTGTGTGTGTGTGTGTGTGTGTGTGTGTCTGTGTGTGAAAGTGAGGGAGAGAGAGAGAGGGGGGGCTAACATTCCATAGATCTATGTGCATTTCTAAACGAGAGATGGGCAGACACATGATGAAAGTGAGATAAGGAGTGAGACAAAGAAAGGTAGATAGGAGAGACGAAAGTGACAAAACAAAGAGAGGAGAGTTAGAGGTGACAGAGAAGAGAGCAAACATGAGAAAAGGGAGAGGGAGAAGCGAAGGCGAAAGAGAGAGAGAGAGAGAGAGAGAATGATGAGAGAGTAAGGAAAGGGAGAGAAGAGAAGGCATGAAAAACAGACAACGATGAGATAATGAAAGGAAGGATATATATATATATATATATATATAGAGAGAGAGAGAGAGAGAGAGAGTTAGAGAGGGAAAGAGAAATGGGAAGAAGGAGTTAAAAATCTGAGGTAAAGAGAAAGAAAAGGAGAGATAAACAAATAGAGGAGGTAGTTAGAAAGAATGATAGTGATTGAGAACGGGAGAAAGAAAGTAGGTGGGAAAGACAAGAAGCGGAGAGACAGGAAGTGGAGAGACAAAGAGGAAAAGGCAGAGGCGAAATAAGAAAGAAAGAAAGAAAGAAAGAAAGAAAGAAAGAAAGAAAGAAAGAAGTTGAAGTAGAGAGAAAGAAGAAGTATGGATCAACAAATAGGAGCGGGTGTGGAAAAGAAATTGAGTGAGAATCAGTGAAGGAGGATGAAACATAAAGAAAAGCCAGAAAGGCAGGTAGCGGTTTTTATTGGTTGCCGGATTTGTTTTTCTTTTACGGTTTATCAACCCTTTTGGGGTTATTTAAAGCCGAAACATATTTTGAATTGTTTAAATAATTTATTTTTTGAGAAATAATTTATTTTTGATACAACTCCTCCTATTGAAGTTTTAACTAGGGGCGAGGAGCAGATGAGTTCATGCCTTTCTTAATCTCTCTCCGCTTCCTGTTGTGGAAGCGGAGAGACATAAAGCGGACAAGGAAAATAGGACAAAAAAAAATGAAGGCAGAAGGAAAGAGAGATGTGAGAGAAAGGAAAAGGAGAGGCGCACAAACTAAGCGGTGGGTGAGAAAGAACGAGCGTGAGAAACAGTGAAGGAGGGGTTGGATGAAAAAAGAAAGAGAGGAAGCAGAGAGACATGAAGAGAGAAAATAGGAGAAAGAAGAAAGGAAAAGAAAGGAAACAGCGTCGAGCATGAGAGGTAGCGAGGGACAAGAGAGAGAGAGAGGGAGAGAGGAGGAGAGAGAGAAGGAAAGAGAGGCAAGAGAGAGAGAAAGAGTGAAGCAAGAGAGACAGAGGTAAAAGAGAGAAGGAGAGAGACAAGAGAGAGAAGAGAGAGGCAAGAGAGACGGAGGTAAGAGAGAAAAGGAGAGAGGCAAGAGAGAGTAAAGAGAGAGGCAAAAGACAGAGGGGAGAGAAAGAGAGGCAAGAGAGAGAATGAGAGTGAGGCAGGGGAGAGAGAGAGAAGGAGAGAGGGAGAGGCAAGAGAGTGTGAGAGAGAGGCAGGGGAGAAAGAGAAGGAGAGAGGGAGAGGCAAGAGAGTGTGAGAGAGAGGCAAGAAGAGATAGAGAAAAATACGTGCCTATATATTCCTGTAGACGTATATACATATGTATGTAGGTGTGTTTGTATCTGTGTGCATGAATAAATGTAATTATGTTGGCCCGTTTGTACGAGAGAGTTCGCTTAAAATACATTTACATCCAGGAGAAAATTACCTTTTAAATATGTTCTCAATTTTATTACACACTAGCACACACCTCTATCGCTAAACCCCGCCTTCCCCTTCGCCTTAACCCTACATTGAGTGCTTTATTGGCATACAACATAGTTACGTGTTGTTTTGTTGTAGATCTCACCTCCCCTACTACCATGTTTTCATTTACATTTGTTCAAACACTAATGATAAATATTAAATATTCTGAAACAGGGGAAAAAAATGAAATGGACAAACGGTGAATGCTTAATCGAATTAACAATTGCTGGGAATTGGAGAATAGAATTTCTTTATTTGCCGCGGGATCAGAAAAAAAGAAAAGAAAAGAAAAGATAAAACGAGAAAAACTTCGCGCGTTCAATCGAGAACGAGGCTAGCGTTCGCCATTCTGATACAAACATGGCGATGCATATAATCTTGCTTATATGAATGTGCCTCAATATACATCCTTTCTCTCTTACTCTGTCTCTCTCTCTCTGACACAAAACCAGACGCTAACAGACACACAGACAAACGCAAACACTTGTTATCGATGACGCACAGTTGCCGATAAATGTTCACTTTCATTTCGAATTTTTTCCCTTTCTCGCGATTCGAACCTTGAGATGCAAGTAATTTCGCTTCTATAGGCAAGCAGAAATGTTTTCTTTAAACGCTTTTGCACATAGAATGCTCGAGGCAAAAACCTAAGTGCGTACACCTAGATAAGCATATAGACAATAATAATTGATTCCATCCATCCATACAAAAGAAAAGAGTAATATAGCCAAATGTGTAAAAATATAAAGTCTTGATACGTTTCTAACGAAATTTTAAGACAGACACTTACACAGACTTGTTTATTTATACACAAACATTTATAGGTTAGCAAACACTAACCCAGACGTGTTCATGCATACACGAACACAGTATATAATGATATACACACAAACATTAATAGGTTAACATATACACACCTAGATGTATGCATGTACATAGTAGGTTTTGATGTATACACATACATTTATAGGTTAACATATACTCACCTAGATGTGTTGATGTATGCATGTACATATTAGGTGTTGATGTATACACATACATTTATAGGTTAACATATACTCACCTAGATGTGTTGATGTATGCATGTACATATTAGGTGTTGATGTATACACATACATTTATAGGTTAACATATACTCACCTAGATGTGTGGATGTATGCATATACATATTAGGTCTTGATGTATACACATATATTTATAGGTTAACATATACTCACCTAGATGTGTTGATGTACAAGGTCTGATCAAAAAGCATATAAAAGGTGGTATAAAAAGAAAACTACAATACATATCAATTCGGCATTTAATCTCCTTCGAAATAGTCCCTTTATGAAGCTAAACACTTTATCCGGGATCGTTTTCATTGATGGAAGCATTTTCTGGAATTCTCGCTCGCATATATCCTTGTTGGAAGCATATTTTGGCTCTGATTGCCTTGTAGAAGTATGACGTCATTGCCTAGCCATTTTCTTTTATCGGTATTTTTGGAATTTTTGTCAACTTTTAGCATGTCAATGCTAGATGAATTAAATCTTGATTTTCACTCCAATCAAGATCTTTCCCACGATATCCCTTGCATTTTTCTGTGTAACATAACAAACAAGGATTTATAAGTGATGCAGTTAGGATATACACATAATATCAGCCTATGAACGACTAGACAATTTCCTCCCCCAAAATATCTTGCCTAATTCTACTATTCTCCGTTCATCTTATATTGCTGCCTCTAGTTTGCTGAATATCGAGAGATTCTTGACAAAATTCAAAGAAGAATCTGCAATATCATCGTCCCTAACCTGGCATCTCGGTTTCAATCTCTTTCGCACTGTTATAAAGTAGCTTTCTTGTAAGACTGTTCTATAAATAGTTTCATGGTAATTTTTCTGATGTACTTTCCTTTTTTTGGTACTTCGGCTTCACGAATTTAAGTGCAGTACTAGATTGGCAGCTCGGTCTCATCATTTCACTGTTGAAATTGCCCAATGTAACCGTAAGTTCTATACTAATATTTTCTTCATTCGAACTTCTCGCTTGAAGAATTCCCTGATGGTCTTTTCGTTTCTTGTCTTCAAAAATTTAATTCCCGGTCAAGTATTTACAGAAAAGACAAAGGGAAACCACGTTATGTCGGTGAGAAACTGCCTGAAGCCGAGATATCGGGTCATGATTTATAACGTTGCATATTCTTCTTTAAGTTTTGTCAAAGATCTCTCGATATATAGCAGATGCTCCAGGCCAGATGTGATGGCAATGTTTGATGCACAGAAGAATGGTAGACTTATCAGTGTGCAAAATGTATTTTTTAAGCATTTCACCCCAAGCAAGGCAGCTGTGCCCATGCCATGCAGGGGGTTACGGAGAGCGAAAGTGATAAAAGAGTGGGTGTAGGGGGAATTGGGAAAGGAAAAAAGGACAGGGATCAAGGCAACAGAAGATGGCGATTGACGTTACATTTAAATGTTTGAAGATTGTAGTTATCAGGGAAGCAAGTAACAGGAAGGGAGTTCCAATGTCGGGAAGTGCGAGGAAAGAATAATTTGGAGTCGAAGTGGCGGTTTCATGTAACTATTTCAAAAGTAAACGGGTGGGACCTAGATGCCAATCTAGTAGCACGAATAAATTCATAAAATCGGGGCACCAGGGAAAAAAACTTGTCAGAGTAGTAGCCATGGAAATATTTCTAGAAAAGACAGAGGGAAGAAGGGAGAAGCTATAATAATATCAGCCTATGAACGACTAGACAATTTTCCTCTCTATGCCAAAAAAGTGAAACGAAGAAGGCCCTGTGGGAAGATGAATGTAGGCATAACGTAGCCATCACTATTTACATTATTCGGAGTATTGTCCTCATCTTTGTCGCCATATTTATTACAACGTTTCGGCCGTTGTACGCTCAGACCTTCTTCAGGTGGTCGGAATATCGAACTAACCCTTTATTTCATTTACATCATGTCTCTGAGAAAGTATCTGAAGTCGAGAAGCCAATGCAGGACCGATTACAGTACAGATCCTTGTTTGGATCTTGTCTAGAACCTTGAGATGAACCGTAGGGACACCAGATCATATATGGCAACAGTATTCAATGCAAGCACGAATGATAGATTTTTAGATGGGTAAGATAGACTCTGACAAGAAAAAAACTTCTGGCACGACACAGTGACCCAACTTTCCTTGCAGTAGATGCAGCTATTGATTCAATATAGTTATTCGACTTCAAGTCAGTCGAAAAAGTGAAGCCAAGAAGTCGTAGTGAGGCGTTCTCACGGGGGCGAGCATCAACCATGCTGATAGAGGAGGGCATTTCTCTCTGTTGCATTTCTCTCTGAGAGGAGTTTAGTTTGGGAAGCATTAAAATTTACAAGCCATTTCCTACCCTAGTTAATCAATGATTAGAGGACCTTTTTGAGAGCAGCGGCCAGGTTCACTTTGTCAGTACTGCCGGGCTTACTATTGAGACAGGAGTAAGTGGTAGGGTCGTCTTCATAGGAACTGGTGATATCAGGGAGATAATTAATGAAGGTCAGATATAGTGTAGTACCTAGGATAGACTCTTGGGGAACACCGACGTTAGTATGAAATGACCTGGAAGAGAACCCATTCAGGACGACCTTCATTTCCCGATTAGATAGGAATGGCTGGATTAAATTAAGTAAACGTCCTGCAATATCGTAACCCTGAAGCTTACGTAGAAGACCAGCATGCCAAAACCTGTCAAACGCTTTTGAGATATCTAGAGACATAGCATGAGCTTTGCCATTATTATTGAGAGCTTGATTATATATATATATATATATATATATATATATATATATATATATATATATATTCAGTTATAGCTGTAAGCACGTCAGCAGTAGACCGGGCAAAAAGGAATCCATAGTGTTTGTTAGGGAGTAGATCGTGGGAGGTAAGATGCTTAACCATTTCGACATTGATTAAAGCGTCGAATACTTTGCCGAAAATCGGTATGGGAATGATAGGGCGGTAGTTAGCGGGGGTCAGAAGGTTCTTCAGAATGACCGGGACGACAGAGAAGAACCTCCAACAAGCTAAAATACGGGAAACTGTGAAGCAATAGTTTATAGCTTTGGGGGAACAGGAGCCTGCTCAGGGAGCACATTTCTTTTGACGACGGCTGGTATCCAGTTATTTCCACTTGCCTTATGGGAGTCTAATTTAGAAATTATGTCCGAGATCATAGATGGGGATTATGGTAATAAAAATTGTTTAGCACGACAAAACCGACTTCCTAACAGCGGATTTAGAAATTGATTCAATGTAATCGATCCACTTAAAAATAAAATTATATTGCCCTCCAGTTAATTAATTATCGGTAAATAACTGAAAATAGAAAGAAATCTTTTCTTCTCATGTATCAATGTGTAAGATCAATTATGGCGAGAAAAATTGTCCTGCCCAACAGAGTGAGCCAACTTTCCTAGCAGCAGACCAAGCAATTGATTTGATATAATCTTTCCACTCTATGCCAAAAAAGTGAAACGAAGAAGGCCCTGTGGGAAGATGAATGTAGGCATAACGTAGCCATCACTATTTACATTATTCGGACTATTGTCCTCATCTTTGTCGCCATATTTATGACAACGTTTCGGCCGTTGTACGCTCAGGCCTTCTTCAGGTGGTCGGAATATCGAACTGAACCCTTTATTTCGCTCACTGGGGTAGACTGTTCTAGTTCCACGTGCCATGTTTAATGGATGTCAGTTATCAGTTATCTCCTGTTAATTCCCCTCTCGAAGTTGTCCGCTGCCTCAACCGGGTATTGAACTCACACTCTTTGGGTCCTGTCACTGGATCTAACTAACGTCTTTATCCACTGTGACATGTGGCACGTAG